CAGGAGTAGACACACAATGAACGACGTTCATTATTGCCGATCGGGGGTTGCTTGTGGTTTGGCATGAAATGCTGCAAGGCATTTATTTCGTATCAACGACCGGCCCAACACGTGGATAGATGTGACTTTCTTTTGTTGGTATTGTGTCGATGGAGCCGTATGGGGAACGATGTTGATTTCAGAAAAGCATGCGGAAGGACAGTTGTAGACAAATCTGCTTCCAAGTGCTAAATCAGACAGCTGTCGAATTAGAAGGTTTTCCGGCAAAACGCTTTTTAAGCGCCTGATTTTTAAATGCTTCGCAGTTCTTCCCAATTTTGTACAGTTGCAGTGCATGTGGACAGTGGTTGGGCTGCAAAACAGCCCTGTGATAGGATGGACAGCCAAAGGCACATAGACAGATGGGAAGATACAATACACTAAAATCTTAAAGTGTTTGCGTGGGCAGGCTGGATTGAGGATGTATGCAATGGAGGAAACTTTCCTGATGAGAATCCATCCGATATTGTAGATACAGGAGGTCGTCAAAGGTTGACTGCTGAGAGCATGTCTGAAAAATGAGACTCATATAAATGAACTTCCAGGTGCTTGTATGAAATGCGCTAGGATGTAGATGTTTGAAAGTTGATCCTGTGCATACACGAGGATGACCTCGTGTGTGGGAACGCAACCAAAGACTTTTCTACCATGGCTCCTCTGCAACAAGTGAGTTAGGTCGGCCGATCATTGGTTGGTAGCTGCCATGTATAGCGATGATGAAAGCTTCTTGCCAATGCGATGTGCGCCAGATTTCGCGGAGATTTCGCTGCTGCTGCTGCTGCTGCTGCTGCTGCTTCTCCTGGTGCTACTTCTTCTGCCGCTGATGAGTTTGTATGTGACACAGATGAGGAGGAGTTTGTGTTTGTTTCCAATGAAGACCTGTGTCAATCTGGGCAGCTTTGCGCACAACAGCGGCGCATGCGGACGACCTTGCATCCGCTACCACTGTGGGAACTGCCCCAAAGGCATCCAATGCAAATTTCGTCACCTTCCACATCTCAGACCAGAGGGTTTGAACGATCGGAAGCTGATGGTGATTTGTTGTGCATTATTTGCCTCTGTCTCAGAGGCCCAGGCTCAAGTTGGACAAGAATCAGCGCAAGACGGTGAAACAGCTGACTGTGGGGGAGGCAGGGGCAGTCCAATTTCTTCTTGGTTGTATGATTTTGCATGATGTTCAGGTCTGCAACTTGCTCTACCCTTACTTGCAGTCGAGAAGCTTTCGACAGGCCAGGTAGTAGTCAGAATGGCCACCACCCCTTCTTGATTGCTTTTTTTGAGTACTGCGGTCAGGCCATCACCGCGAAGTGCATGCAGCCTGTTTTGGCATTACTGGTGGATCGTGGTTCTTTTGTTGCCCCTGCTGCGGGAAAGCAGGTATATGCAATGTTGAAACGTTTGGACATCACAGGCTTGATGACCGTCTTGTTACAGCATGTCCAAGACGATGCTGTTTTCACAAAGTGGTTAGTCAGCAGTATCAGATGGCTCATTCTGCGATGCAAGCGGCACGGACGTGAGCCTCATCGTAGGATAGGGTGAGCCTCGTAGCTCACATTTTGCGCCAAAGCCTGGATGCAGAACATGCAAGCTTTAAAAGAACGGACATCCTGCTTCCTCCTTGCCTGCTTTCACCCACAATAACAAATTTAGCCTGCAATCATTAGGCATTGTCTTCTACAAGAGACTGACTGAGCTCCCTCTTTCTGAAAGTCTTTGGATCAAGATACCAGCAACCAATCGAGTCGGGGTAGATAGTAATGTTTCCATCGGTCGAAGCAGACATGGCCGGCTTGTTTGTGTGGCAGAAGGCCCTGGTCATTATTTCGTTGTTGTCCTCTTCATATTTACTGGCAGGACCTACAAGGCATTGACTGTTGCCAAGCGATCCAAATACCTTACAGCAGATTGAAGGCGGAGGTCCACGTCATCTCCACGGAGAAGGCAGGCAAGAGGGGGTAGGAAGGAAGAAGAGGTGGATGTCGATGTTGAGACCATGTGAGGAGCCACCTGTTGATCTAACGAGACACTGCTGCCATGGCTCAATGCGGTGATCGCTTTGAAGAAGCAAGAGCAAAGACCTCAGTGAAGAAAAACACTTTTTGGATTTGTTCATTCAGTCTCTCGCTTGCAGGCTAAGGTAAAATTACCAGAATATTAGTAATCAAATGGAAAAGAACATGGAAAGTGAAATGGCAAGTTGGGTTATGTAATATGGGTTGTATAGAGCGTGAAGGAACTTGTATTCAGTTACGAGAACAAGGAAGCACCATAGATCAGTATTCTTATTCAGTGTAAGGTCCTTACAGCAGGATGCATGATACATGAGTACATTACTTCATGTAAGTTCCTTAACAGCAACCCAGTTTAGACATATGTTTAGACCCTAACTAAATCCGAAACCTAAACCATTAACCTTTAAGACCTAGGCCCCTAAACACCAGGTTCGCATACAGGACTCAGGAATTAGCCTCGGCCTAGGTTAATCCCCATCCCTTCCTTGAAATTTTCTCGAAGCATTTTATTTACTGGTTGTTGGTAGGGAATAACTAAGCGGGTATACTCCCGCTAGAAGACACTCCGTCATCCCTACTAAGAGCCAGTAAGTTTAGATAATTTTAGATAAAAGTACAGTAAATGCTTATCAGCCTATGCCAGGGTGGGGAGGTAAGGGGGAGTCGGCAAGATCTTTTTTTGACAGTTCTATGGCTACAGTATGTATGTCAAAAGATGTCCTCGCAGCCACCAGCACCAGCACCAGCACTAGCACCAGCACCAGCACTGCCACCACCACCATCATCATCAACATCATTGTCATCAGAGTCATCTCCATCGTCACCCTTGTATATCACCATTGCTGTTGTCGAAGCACGATCATCCGTGATCGCAGAGGTTTGCCGAAACTTGAAGTGTCTTGCCCCCGTCTCGTAAAGAGTGGAAAGGTTTCTGGCAACCCGCAATTACTCCAAGACATGTGTGCAAGGTGTTGCTTAGTTTTTGGTCTTGGCTCTGAGTTAACACATAGGGTTGCAGCAAGCCCCTGGATGACGCGATAATAAGTCATTGTCAGCAGTGAGCTATGATGTTTTCGAATTCTACTTGGCAGCTCGGCATATGAAGAATTCAGGCAACAGTTTTCTGTTGCTGAATGGCTAGCCTTCACAAGTAGCACACATTTCCAGCGCCCTTGCATTCTGAGGTTCCCAAACATGCCCACCCAACGCAAAGACAGATTTCTGCAACGTTGCTACGCACTCCTGTAAAACTAGGCGCCAGCCAAGGAAGCTAAAATCATAAGATCGCTTCACAGCTTTAGGGCCTTTGCACCGGCCGTTGTTTGACGGACGTCTGCATGAAACTTCCGTAATGAAGCTCAGTCATAACCAACTTATGAGCCATAGCCTGAACTCCTTAAAGGGGGTTATATAGGGAATTACTACAGGGGTTATTAAGGCGGATACTAAGAGTGTAGACAATTAATCATATGGCGGATACCCTAAATCATGACCTTTACAGCCCACAGCCCTACAGAGGCCCTTCCGCAACGCAAGAAGTTCCAAAGGTAACCATGTACCAGTGACCCTTGAACCTGGAGGGAGGACGGGATAACACGGCCCGAAATCATAGGCCTTAATTGGTTAAATGGCCTTACCCTGAACCTTGACCCCAACCTTAGGGATCCATGTGTACAAATTATACCTACATTGGGCTATAATTTTTTTTAATAAATCTAAGGATGCCACGAACCCCATGAATCCACATGGGCTCCTGATCGCCTACGCAGAAGCCTTGGTAAAGCCAGTGGTTTCTGAGCCTTGGCATTGCACTGCAGGCTTCAAACTGGCTTCAAACTGGATTGCTGTTAAAAAACGCAATTCAAGTTACTATATAGAACTCTATTATGTACCATATATATACGTATCATGGTATCTTAAACTAGGTGCCTTAACAGCAACCCAGAAAATGATAGTTTTTGCACTGGGGTACATACATAGGACCCCATAACATTCCGGAATTTTTAAGAACCCATAGCAACACGTAGCGTCGGCGGTGGTGGCGAAAAGGAGTTTGGATCTGTGGGGCGCAGCTACTTGCGTTTGCAAGAGCTTCAGTATCCAACCTCATGGAATACAGGATACTAATGCTGAGCTGTTTTGCTGACGTTTTTCTTGGGTTTGCATGGATGTTTCTGACTTCAGCACTCTTTTGGTCCAATTTTTTGGCTTGGTCATTGTGCTACGGGGTTTAGGGGTTAGGGTTTAGGGTTTAGGGTTTAGATAGACAACGCTGAACTATGACACCATAGACCATGCTACTTCCAAGATTGACCCGTAGTTGTTATTACACATGGCTGCGCAAGCTATTCACGAAACAGTGTTGGGTAAGATTGTTTCCCTTGGATTTTGTGGCCGGGTGCGCGAGCAACATATGGACGGTGTGTCGGTCAAAGTACAATCATACGGGTCCATGGTTTTGGCGTCGCGGTTACGCAGATAGTCGTAGGGTCCAGATCTCGGGTCTTGGGGTTATCAAGCGAGCCCACTACCAAACCCAAATGTGAAGAATGAGTAAAACAATCGCCCAAGGACTTTGATACGTTCACGGTTGGTAGCCGCGGAATGCGCTACGAGCGAATAGCCCCCGACCAGTGTGCCACTTGGTCCGACTTTCCTTTGCAGCTGCTGTATGGTGGGTTCGGGACCCCCACCAAGATATGGTAGAATACTGGGAATATATGGGGGGGCCTATGGGGGGGCCTAGCATATTTTCCAGTATCTCGTGTGGTCACTTGAAGTGAGAGGTGGCCTCCCTAAAGCCCAAACCGCTAATTAAACCAAAGCCCAAAACCTGAAACCCTAAACCCGAAGCCCGGTGATCCTAAGGTCTTTTCTGCCAGGTTGAGGTTGACCATGTGGGCTATAGTTTTAATTCATAAAAGGGGGTTTACATAGGGGATTATATAAGAAACTACTGTAGGGGTTATGAAGGGGGATACCAGGACAGTAGACTATAACAATGTGGGTTGTTCTCAAAGTTATGGACTCTTTTTGGTTAAAGATTATAGTATTTAAAGATTATATTATGGCACTTAATATTTAGCGGTAGCAAGATGGGACCGTAAATTTGGAACCCTAAGCATTTTTGGCGTGGGTTTGGCTACCAGGTAAGCTTCATGCTTGCTCGAGTGAAAGTACCTGGCCCAGTTGCACCGTATGACCGGGACTGGGCAACCAAGCTAGTATCAAAAGACATCATCCGAATGTCAGAGTATTGATCCTCTCTATAAGCATGTAGGGGCTAATGTTTGCTAAATTCCATTTTTTTGGGGGGGGTGGTGTGTGGGGGGTGTGTGGTATGTTTCTTCGATCACCTGATTGTTGCAATTATCCGCGAAAGCTTATTGCTAGAATCTTACTCCCCTAGAATCTTACTCCCGTCCTTACCGCAAGGATAAGAGTGAGGTTCTAGCACGGTGAAGCAGCTAACGCTTTCATGTAGATCATCCCTGTGGGTTGTAACGATCGAGCATTTTGCAGGCGTACAAGCAAGAACAAGAGTACTGCCGTCCGAAGCAAGAACGCCTCAGACAAAGACACAGTAGGCAGACTCAGAGTAGAAACTCGCAGAGTAGAAGCAGAAAAGCAGAACAAGAAGAATAAACAACATACGCCCCGCACCCCGAGGGCTGCGGGGACTCCTAATCCCACTCCTAAAGCCACTACAAGTCCTAAACCAATCCTAACCCCTAAATCCTAAAGCCCTAAACCCCAAACAAATCCCTAAACCTTGAACCTACCTCTAAATCCCTAAATCCTAAACCCTAAGCCAACCCGAAACCTCAGGACCTGATGGCTTGGACCCTGGACAACACGGAGCGCATCCTGAACCAACCTGGTGGCCTCTCGTGGAACTCACGCGCCTGTGATTTCAGATTCAGGAGTACATGAGTTATATGAGCTAGAGTCATTAATATAGGGTGTAGGGTTTAGGGTCTAAATTCCTTGAAGGGGGTTATATAAGGGACTATTTAGTGAAGGGATACTAGGAGTTTAAACCAGTGCTTGCATGCCCCTCCCCATAGGGCTCAGGGTTGAGAATTGGGGGGCCTGGGGTTTGGGGGTTTAGGGTCTTGAGTGTTGAGGGTCGAGGGTCAGGGCCTCCGTAAAGCCTGAAACCCTAAACCCTAACCTGTCTAGAGTCTTTTGGAGTTTGGGATGCAATCCAACCAAGGCATGTTGCTCGTGGGATTGTGATGTAGACTCTGGTGTTTAGTTAGGGTTTGGCGGCGTTTTATCGGTGACTTTCAGCCAAGTCATTCTGCGAAACCAACAACGAAGCGCGGAACAACGCAAGGTAAGCTTTACAGCAAGTGCTCAGGAAGGGTTCAGAATGACCGTTGATGATTCAACTTTGTACCAAAGGTGAAGCCCCAAGAGGAATAAGGTGAGGGTAAGGTTCGGCCAAGAGAACTTGGCCTGGAGATGTTCAGAGCTTGCTGTTGACGTCTGTTGGCTTACACCAGTGCGAGCTTATAGATGCCTTCCTGTACGCGAACCGCGCCGCCTGGACCCATTTTGCATCCGAAAGGGTGGATACTAAACATCCTGCATGACCCTACAAGTACCTTATACCTTGGGAATCGTGCTATTGTAGTATACTTAGGGTCATGCAGGATTTAATTTCAACAACTAAGCCCCAAACCCTGAATCCTAAACCCTATTCTTGCCGGAATCCAAAGCTGAATTGCTCACCCCTGAGACCTATGCCCAAACCAGAAGCCCCGCAGCCCTAGCAGAGGATGGCTGGAAATCCTAGAAAAGGCCGATGCCGAAGGCTTCTTGGCTAGGCTTCCGACATATGCAAGCGCACACAGGTGGAACGTGAACCTGCCCAATATTCGTTGCAGGTTCGTTCAAGACCTCCGGTACCTGTAAGTCCCAGCATGTAGTAAGTAGCATTGCGCAGGCAAGAGGCTTCATCATGCACTTTTGGGCGAGGTATAGAGTTGATTTTCATGAAAGACAGGCTTCGGGCTAGGGATTTCCAACCCTAAGCCCTATAAACCTCATACAGTAACCGTGAGGGTTCAAGTACTCAATAAGCATATACTTCCCCAAAAGCTTTAATTCGAAGTTCTCATTCATTCGGCACATGGACCCGTGCGGATATGGAAGTCACGTGCCCTGGACCTAGGAATCTGATATTTCTGGCCTTGTCCCTAAGCCCTAAACCGCGTGTTGTTGCCAAAGTGTGCTTTTGGATATTGTTGGAGAAATCAGAAGCTATACAGCAGTCATGATTCTGTTTGCCATCGCCGCAAAAAGAGCGTTTTGTTTCATATACGAGTAGGTCCGCGGCCCAATGTCACCAGGGATCCAACCCCCAGCCCACCTTGCAACAATAGGGTTTAGGATTTAGGTGCGTCACGAAAGAAGCCCAAACAAAGAACCTCTAAACTTGTAGAATGCCAAAGGCCCGACGCTTTTCTTACAGGCTTTCAAAATTTTGAGGATGCCATGATTCCCCCAACTCCTCACATGTTCATCATGCGCCTACATGAGCTGTTGTCTAAACCCCTGACAAGCTGGTTATGTAGGGGGCTTATATAGGGGACCACTATAGGGCCTATGATTAAGGGGGATACTAGGAGTTTAGACTATAGCTCACGTAGCGTTGGAAATTTGCGAGACTAAGCGAGCAGCAGGTCAAGATGGGTTGAAGGACATTTGTTTCCCCAGGCCTTTCAACCAAAGCTCCCCAAAGCCCCAAGCCGGAAAATCCGTATGACACCCTTAAACCTTAAACCCAAGCCTCCAACCCCACACCCAAGCCCAACCCCCAAGCTGGCCAGGATTTCATCTCCCCAAAAAACCCTCATTTAGGGGCCTGAATGATAGAAAAGAGATTTTGGCGTATATGGAGCTACAAGTATCTAAGTTATATAAGGTCTTTTTTAGGTTCTCTGAGAGGATGTAGGTAACCCCAATCCCCAATCTCAGGACTCTATGATTTTTTTTTAATCATTATGAAGGGGTCCTAGTTTGGGGATTTGTGTTGCCAAGACCCTCTGAATCACATCTTTAAAAATCGCCATACTCATGTAATCCTCCTGTGATCCTAAATATCACCCCTACATGGCCCCTGTTTTTGGGTGGTTGGGTTTATTAGGTTCCGCAGACATCCGGCATTCATGTCACCCCTCCAGAAACCCTAAATCAGTGGCCTCAATTATTAGGAAGCCATGTCATCTGCATATATGTATATATATATATATGTTGTTAGATATGTGGTATCTATATATATATATATGTGTATATCCATGTGATGGTAACTTAATCTAACTTCTCCCCGCGTAGGCCCTATACACCCTAAACCCTAAACCCTAGACCCTACATCCTAAACCCTAAACCCTAGACCACCCAAAACGTCGAGGATTTCACCCCTGCATCCCCGAGTTCGGTTTCGGGGATCCCACATCCTACCGGCTGATCAAGGATGCTGCTTGGCTGTGTTTAGGGTTTATAGGGTATATATGAGTTGTATAGGGTATATGATATATGGGTTCCATAGGGTATATATGGGTTTTATGGGGTAATTATATGGGTTTTATAGGGTATATGGGTTTTATGGTGTATATGGGGCTTGTAGGGTATATGGGGTTTATAGGGTATATGGGCTTTGGGCTTTATGGGGTATATGGGGTTTATAGGGTATATGGGCTGTATAGGGTATATAAGCTTTAAAGGGTATACTGGCTTTATAGGGTATGCGGGCTTTATAGCGTATATGGGGCTTATAGGGTATATGGGGTTTGTATGGTACATGGGCTTTACAGGGTATCTGGGGTTTACCGGGTAGATGGGCTTTAAAGGATATGGGCTTTATAGTGTATATGGGCTTTATAATGTATATGGGTTTATAGGGTATGTGGGCCTTCTAGGGCCTATCAGGTTTAGGATGTAGTGTTTAGAGGATGCTGCTGGCCCGGTGTGTGGCTTGCTATCTGCGTTTAAAGCTTAGGGCGTAGGGCTAGGAATGCGGATAAGTTGATTGCGCAGGCTCGCAACATTTTCTTCTTTCGCTAGTGAATCTTTGGCTATACGGAGTAGGGATTAGAAGTGTTCGACACAATTGGGAGTAAACTTGGGGTCTAATTCAATGGATTGTAGGGGCTATGTATATATATATATAGAATGATGAAAGGATTGGAGATTCTAAGTGCCATGAACAGCAGGGACCAGGAGTACTGATGGCGAGACGGGATGCCGTGTGGAGTATCAATAGGCTGACCACGATGTTTGGAAATGCTTGAGGTTTTGGGTTTAGCGTTTGGGGCTTGCAGGTCAGGACTTGGCACTGTGCAGGAATTAGATCACGTTGCTGAATTTGCAACAGACCGCATGCCTCTCCAAGCTGTTCAGGTCGAGAAAACCCAAGTTATAGCCAGGTAATGTCCTAAATGGTCTCTCATATTTTTGGTTGATGCCGTAACGCTAGTGTTTTGCAATGCACCTACCGCGCTCTCTATCAACTACTGTAATCTCTCTTTCCATGTTGTTTTCATGTTTTTGTCCCATTCTGTTGATTCTGCTCTCCCTGTTTCTATCTCTTTGTTACAACCCCATATCGTTATACCCCCCAGTTTCGTAATGCACCTACCTAGTTCAGAACCACTAATGAGTCAGGTGATTGAAGCAACAAAATTTTCTGGCGCCGTCCGTCACGGGGCCGAGTGCTTCAATTTCTACTTCCCTCAGGACGCGGGTTCAGGGTTCAGGGCTCAGGGCTCAGGGGTTACTCAGAGGCTCCCATGCAGCTTGTTTTTGTCTTGGGGAGGGGCTTGCCATCTTTACATAAGGGTTTACCAGGCCCAAGAAGAATGATCAGGGTAGTAAAGGCCTGCCGCAGCCGTTACCTTCAAGATAAGACCCCCGGAATCGTTGACCCTTCAGCCGCGACGCCCTAGCCCTAACCCCAACCCGAACCATGAAAATTTCCACGCCCTCAAGAGACCTCAGAATAGCTGCTCCTTGGCAATAGCCCCTAGTAATAAGAATATTCCCAGAAAATCCCCAACTCCAGTTTTGATCTGACAATGAATGAGGGGAGTTCTGAGCTCATTAAGGGGGTGATAATAAGGTACCGAAGGAATTGCCCTGCACTGTGGGTTTAGATGCAAAACCGAGTGTGCGAACCAAAGCCGAGTGTGCGAACCACAAAGGTACGAAAAGAACTACCTGATTAAATGCTTACAAAATCCATTCAACCATCTTCAACCCCCTTAAACCTCCTTCAGCCATTTGCAGCCAGGAGTTTGACTTTGAGTATAAACCCACAACCCCACGAAACTTTGAGTTCTATGAAAACACTAAGCCCTACGAGGCCCAAAGCCCCACATAAACCCTAAATCTTAAGCCGTTTAACCCATTTACAGCCTGGAGCCTGACTCAGAGTATAAAACCCTAAACCCTAAAACCTACCTAAAACCACCTTCACCCTCCACATCTTCCGCCAGGAGCTTGATTCAGAGTACCTCATCATCTGGGATGGCTTCGATGGCAAGCCCTGGGCGTATCGCGATGCCTCAGGCCTTCTTCATCCTAGTGGTGCTGAAGGGGGAGTTGAAGGAGTGAATTTGGCGTTTAGGGTGTTGGGGCTTAGGGTTTACTTGGAGGGTCAGGGGGACTTAGTAAGTAGGTTAGTAACCCCTATAACTCATATAGTAACCCTACTTATCCCCTTTATTAACCCACTTACTAAGTCCCCCTGACCCTCCAAGTAAAGTGAATGTAAGTACAAGTATAGGGGTACATATGGGGAATAGTATGTGCTCCAGGGGGAGGGGGGGATGAATAATAAAGGTACCATTACATGGGGTACATATCGAGATTAGTTATCCTCCAGTCGATCATGAGGGACAAGGAATCAGTAGGGGATCAAATGGGTACCAGTATGGGTATATATCGGGATGACTATAGAGATTATTATAGTGATCCACTCACTCTCCTTGAGCACCAGTAACTCATTCTTTTTTTCTGATTCCACATGAGTTTCATAAGGGTTTCCCAAAGCTAGGGATGCTTTAATTTTGGAAGTCACATTCTCAGGGGTATAGTATTTGGAGAACTGACCCCAATGCGCGGGAATCCTCACATTGAGACATGATGAAAAGACGATAGCTGACTACTCCTCATCATCTATTCTGATGCCCCGGTTCTCTTCATCATGCTCGACCAAACAAATTTTCTGAGATGTGGTGTATAGAGGCAGAAGGCATGGGTTGAGGGATCTAGGGCTCTGAGCGAGGGCGCTGCGGGAATTAGAGACGTTGGATGGGTATAGTTCGCAACCAGAACTAAGAACTCGAAAGGACCATGGTTGGTTATATGGGAATAATTGAAAAGAAAGTGGAAACTACTATAGTATATTAGGGTTATATGGGGATACTAAAGTATATTAGGGTTATATGGGGATAATGGAAAAGAACATGGAAACTGCTATAGTATATTAGGGTTAGAACATATTCGGGCCCCCTCAGATTCCTATTGCACTACTATTACAGGGAGGGGCATCCATCTAAGGGATGGAAGCACAGTATGTCAAGTGCGTGATGCATCCGGACAAGAAGCTGTGGGATGGCCATCTACCATGGAGAACTCATGATCCCTAAGCCTTGGGTACTGCCCCCCCCCCCAGTAACAGTCCATATTAGGGGTATAGGGTCTAAGGGTTTAAGGGTTTTAGGGTTTAGGGTTTAGGGTTTAGGGTTTAGGGTATAGGGTCTAGGTTGGGTACTGCCCCCCAGTAACAGTCCATGTTAGGAGTCCTATTAAGGGCTATATATAGCCGTATTATAATGATTATCCAACTGTTACTGAGGGCGGAAGTCCCGATTGAGCTTTAGGGTTTATAGCTAGGTACCCCAGTAGTAGGACCCCTCTTTCCCTTTGACCTCTTGGGGTTTCCTTAGTCATGCTGAACATCTTTGAAAAAGGGTTTTCCCTTATGATTATGGGGCTACTGGGAGCCTAGATAATTAGGGTTTAGGGCAGATGAAACTACTTATCTAGAATATTCTATGCTCTTGCAACATGCGCTGGAGTTTTATATATCTGAAGGAGGTTATTGCACCAATCACGTGTTTTGATGAACCTTCTCTGAACTCCTATGACCTACACGCTCGGAAACGAACACCCCTAATAATCAACCTCGCGAGCCCCTAATAATCACCCCTCCCCAATATGGTACCATCATATACTTGGTATTTGGTGGAATATTTACAAGGCGGGGGGGGGGGGGGCTTATCAGCGGGAGGGGATTAATGACCCCATACATTACATCCGCGTGCGCTTCGGAGGACCGCGCCGCAATCCCTGACTGGTACTGGTACCCTAAACCCTAAACCATAAACCCTACCCTAAACCCTAAACCCTGGTAGTCATCTCGCAAGGTCTCCGGGAATTTCTGCTGGAGCGCATTACTGAAGGCTATAGCTTTCCGATGAATCCAGCCGCCTATCAGAACATCTGCATCTGCTTCTCCAAAGGAACGTTGAACTTCAGCGGTATGATGCTTTCCGGGAGTTGGGGTCCGTGTTGGGCTGGTTGCCAAGCTGAAAGATCATGGTAGCTTGGGGTATACGGGGGGACCCTTGTGTTTCAAGACGACCAGATGTGAGAAATGCATTTTGGCTTTCCGTAGTTTTAGCTCTATCTACTGCAGGGTGCTTACAGGTCATACAGCTGCTGCATTTCGATGTTGGACCAGTTGGGTGGCTTTCTGGCTTCTGGGGTTGGGGCTTAGGGTTGAGGGTGTAGGGTCTCAGAGTCTCATCAGCAGCTGGTTTCAAGAACGATCCCGGAATGATTCGAAGCTTTTTTTTGGTTGATGCCCAACTCTGAGAAATAACAAATCTGTAAGTGCCTGGATGACGGCCAATATTATGGATATTTATGAATCTAGATTCCCTGTATAACGCTCGCTGGCATGGGCATAGGTTATTTGAACTGGACCTCAACATAATGCTGGCCGTTACTTGGCCTGCTGTAGACCTTGACAAGACGGCCACCCTTGTAACAGTACGCTTGCTACCCTAAACCCTAAACTCAAACCATCTCAAACCCTATAGTCCCCGTTAAGTAGGTACAATATGGGGGATATGGGGATCATCTTAAAATATACCCAAAGCCATGTTCTATCTACTTAAGGGGGACTAGAAGCCCTGAACCGGTGTCCTAAAGCCATCCCGGCAGTCTTTCTGAGGGCTAAGAACAGTCTTCAGTCTAATGTAGGGGCGTAAATAACGATATGACGCGGTTTAGTAATTTAGGGTTTAAGGTCTAGGGTTTCGGGTCCTAGGTTTCTTGTATGATAGTAGTATAGGGTAGTCACATATAGGCCATGATCATTTAGGCTCTTAACAGTGCCTTGTACCCCGCCAAAGCCTTGAAACATCCAGACAGCAGTACGGGATGTCATTGAAAAAAGCCTGTGCCAGGTAGCTTCCTTAAGGGTTTGGGGTTGACTGGGTGGATTCAAAGGCCATTGTGATCCCCAAGGGCTAAGCCCTATTACTCCCTTGGTAGGCTTAAGCCGACCAGCCCTACAGAATCTTCACAGAACTTACAATCCCCCCGATGTAGATAGCATGGAAAATGTGGCTTTGGGTGTATTATGATAAGATCCCCATATGGGTGGTTGTCAAAACTATGGTCCCTTTTTGGGTTCCTATTATATTACGGCACCTAATATTTAGGGCACCCAAAAAGGGACCATGATTTTGACAACCACCCATATATTCCATATTCTATCTACTTACTGTAAGGGGGATATAGAGCAGCCCAAGAGCCCACTGCTTCAACAAGAGGCTACCGTGCAGCTTGGCATCAACCTGAGACTGCTGTCCCCATGCCGAACAGCAAGTTGCAAACCCTAAGCCCTAAACCCGAGACCCCAACCCCCAATCCCTTGACCCAAAGCCCTAACCCTTAAAGCCTAGTCCCTAAACCCTTAACCCTACAGCCTAGGGAGGCCCACCATTCTAAGATTCATGTCCTTGTTTCTTGCTCTTCCCCCCGAGACATACTTGTAACCCGAGTTAATTACCAGGTTTGTAGGGTTTAGGGTTAGTAATTTGGCCCCATATACTTAATATGTATAACCTGTGAGTGACTGGGGCACAGGTACTCAGATCCTTCAACCAGAGAATATATTTTCCCGGATATACTGAGAGGCCAGAGTTGTGCCGCATATCCCAGGTCACAGCCATAACCCTATACCTGAACCCTGAGCTCTGAGCCCTAAACCCCAACCTTAGACCTCAGACCCTGAACGACTCCTCCAAGTATCCTTAGATAACTACATAAACCCTAAACCTTCCCCAAAGGTCTGGCCCATCCGAGATGAGGGATGGTTTGACGTTTATGACGCGCTGCGAAAAAGTCCGCACGCGCCCCTGGGCCTTCTTATTGCAGTTTGGGGCCTGTAGGGCTTGTAGGTTTCAGAGCACAAGGGTCTATAGAGGGCGTATGGATACTTATGTGTATATGGGGATATGTAGGGATGCGAAGAGCAGAGAGCTGAGTCCCCCGAAGAGCAGAGAGCTGAGTCCCCTTCAGAATCTTACCCGCCGCCCCCCAAAATTCAAAGTACAACTCTAATACGGAGAGGTACTCCTTGTAGAGCTTCTGTATACCGCCTGTTTCCACTTGTGATTAAACCCTGAACCCTGAACCCTAGCCCGGTGGATGTCTCAGGACAGCCTGCCTCAACGCTTGGTTTCCGGCTGAGTCCGGTGTTATGCAGAAAATCGTGCCTTGGCAATCCACAGAATTAAGGGTGGGTGCTCTTGGGTTTTGTTGTACTTGCAGGAGATCTTGGTTTGGTCCCTCGCCGCAAGGAGGGCTAAGCATAAGCTTCTTAGAGAAAAGCCACTGCGCATATTCTGGTTGGAAGCCACGATATTATAATAGGGTTATATAGGGGTAATATTGGGGTTATATTTGGGGATAATGGACAAGAAAATGGAAATATGAAGTAGAGGTGAACATGCCTTGGACCCAATACTTATTTAGAGAAGCTCCCATGGGGGCGATTCCTTGTACGGCTGTACAGGGATTCTCTTCCACATCCGCCTGCTGTTGATGGAGGTCTAGCTTTGCTAGGATGGTTTGACAGCCACTGCAGCGGTTGGTCATCAGATGTGGTTGTGGTACAGAACCCTTTCGGCTTTGGTTCCTGGCTTTGAAACTGGGTAGGTCCCTGGGATATTTGATATTTTCCCTGATGGCTTTAATAGGGGACCATATATACTAATATTTTTCAATGGATTTCAGGGGCCAACCTAGTGAAAAGGCCCAAAGATTCATTCAGAACGAGGCGGTGGATCTGTAAGTAGAAGCCAAGACAAGATCTGCTTGGACATGACTTTTCATTGTCACCCCTCAGATCTGTCAGTTTCTTATCATCTCCTTAAAGTCCCCATGTATCCTTGGGGCCTTAGGCTACCCCCGCTTGAGGAGCCCTAAAATCCTACTTGGAGGGCCAGGGGGACTTAATAGCTAGGTTAATAATGGGGATAATTAGGGTTACTACATGGGTTATAGGTGTTATTAACCTACTTACTAAGTCCGTCTGACTCTCCAAGTATAATGCTTTGCTTTGGATGGCACCACACCCTTGGATCCTGCATGGCGGAGGAGCAGATACACCGGCAGTTCCCGGAGGGATTCCAGGTGCGTGTCTTTGCTGCTGCTACTCAGGGTTCAAGGCCTCTTCGTTGCTTGGGACTTAGCTTGGACCTTAGATCCGCAACCCTTTGGGATTCCCTTATATTCCTAGTATAGGGAATTAAGGGTTAACCCTTAGGAGGGGTCCTAAGTGCCACGTAGTTCTTTGCTTCAGAATCACAAACAGCCACGCTTCAGCAGGAAATTTGCAGACAAGTTACACCCTTGCTGAAAAAAACAAATCCATGCATCGCAAATGAACTTCCTTACTATTGTCCAACTCTCAAGCCCCATATGGTAGGTTCCTTAGTTATAGGGGCCCGCATAAAGTTACCCCTACATACGGGAAACCACCACATTTTTTGGGTACTTAAAGCCTTTCACGGCGACGCATTGGGCTGGAAGCCACCCTGTGCGCATCGGAGCTGAAGCACTGTTGCACCCCTAGCCCTGAACTCTGCATCCACCAAATCCGAGGTAGGCGTGAGAACATAATTGCTGATGTTTATTACCGAAACCCTATGCAATCCTTATAAAGCCATAAACACTTAATTCTATAGGGTCCCCAACCCTGCCCTAGAAATCCCATACTCTTAAGCCTGTGGAGGCAACTGTAATGTCCCAAAGCAGGAAGGTCTTAAGGCTAGGCATCTTTTCAACAAGGCATCCTAAAGCAGGGATGACGGAAGCCTGAGCTTCGCCTGGGTTATGGTGAAGGAACTTAAGTTACCTACCTACCATCCTATGGATCAAAACTACGCGCTCTTATTCTTCATGTTTACATATTGGCTTGATTTGCAGACGTTCTGAATAAACAGCATTGGTATTGTGAGTCTTTCAATACTTGTGAACTGAAGTGTTGAGCCAGAAGCCTTCGGTGAACAGTAAGCTTCACAACCATCCCCTATACCTAAAGGTCCCTGCCACGCAAGTCTGCATGACCATACACCTCCTTACATAAGCTTCTGTACCTTACATGCACATATGAATAGATACATATCTTTGGCCCTAAACCCAAAATCCCTAAACCCGAAACCGTAAGCCCCTTCACAGCAACCCAGTTCAATGAAGCAGGTTCACCACGACGAAAAGCATCCTGAGATGGCAGCCGAGCCTACGAGCCCCGGTCCGGAGCTCGAGGTTAAGGGCAACTGTAGCCAGGATTATGCAAAGAGAGAGAGCAAGTTCAAGCCGGGAGAAGAAGAAGAAACAGAGAGAGAGAGAGAGAGATATATATATATACATATTCACATGTACATATACGTGTATACCCTTATCTTCAGAGGGTTTATCTAGGCATACATAGAGTTATGTCGATATATATATATATACTGCTTTGATAACAGAATGATATACAGGGTCTGTGTACTGTTATGTTACGTACCATTTAGGGTGTAGAGGTTAAGTCATAGGGGTACATGAGGATATATCCGGATACGTAGGGTTGTGCAGAGTTTAGAAGCTTGCATAGTGACAAATGGTAGGGAACCAGATGGAAAAGCAAATGGAATATGAAAGGGAAACTGGATTTGCATGGGGTTCTTAGGGGTTGTAATGTTGGGAAGCCGAAGCGTGATCGATTACCAATGTGGCCCCCCAATCTCACTATTTCTATGTTATACCATAACCCTAGGGCTCCAGTTACCTAAATAGTAGGTTACTGGGCTATGTAACTATAAGGTATATAGAACCCAGTTCCCATTATCTAGGTAACTGGAGCCCTAGGGTAATTCAACACCCTACTCTACCCATTAGATCCCGACATCATACAATCGGCTTAGG